TTGTGGTCTAAGTGTTGGACTAGGACTCCAGGAAAGCAGAGTTCGATTCCCTGCTCAGCCATGAGGACTTGCGGAATGACCTTGGGCAAGTCACACTCTCTCAGCCTCAGAGGAAGGCAGTGGCAAACCTCCTCTGACTATATTTGGCCAAGAAATCTTACTTGAGCCAATGTGGTCAAATGGTTTGAGTGTTGGGTTAGGTCTCTAGGAGATGAGGGTTTGAATCCTCTGTCAATCCTGGAGATCCCTTTGGCGACTTTGGGCAAGTCACATGCTCTCAGCCTCTGAGGAAGGCAAAGGCACACACACACATACACACCAAAGAAATTTTGCCAAGAAAACCCACAATAGGTTCACCTTGGAGTCACCATAAGTTGGAAATGAGTTGAAGGCGCATAACCTATCATGGCACCTGAACTATCATGGGGTTCTCTTGGAAAGATTTGCTCAAAGAAGCTTTGCGATTGCCTTCCTCTGAGGCCGAGAGCATGTGACTTGCCCAAGGTCACCCAGGGGGTTTCATGGCCAAGCTGGGCAGAACAGCCATGCTATTGCTGCAGCATTCTTTTTAAAAGCAAACAGATCTAGTAACTGGAAGAACGAAGGGCAAAAATGTCATGTGGAGCTTCTTATTTGGGGAGGCCAGTGCCCTCATTGCTGCAGCTACACCCCTGCAGAAATAAGTCCTGCCGTTATATTTTTATTCTTTTCTATTTTAATGCATTACTTATTAACAGATTTCTCAGCCACTTTTTGTGACTTGAAGCCCTCTCGATATCTTTAAAGTTTAACTAAAGGCAGGGGGAGAGCCGATCTCGGATGGATATTATGCATGCTTATTTTAAAAAAAGAGCTTGCTGTATTGTAAGGCAGGCTTTGTGTTAAGCCTGCGTAATTTGTTTGGCAAGCAGGTTGGGTTGGATGCCTTTCTGTTCTTATGCAGCTTCAGAACAAACGTAAGGACATCAAAGTAAACGTTTGCATTTGCAGCATGCCCAAAGAAGGAGTTCTTGTGAAACCCCAGAGACAGGCCAAAACTAGCCTAGCTCTCAGCAGGGTGGCCAAGTGAATCTGTGTCATGCCCTCCAACATTTCATGCATGGAAACCAGGGCAAGCAACATCAGAGTGTGGTCAGGATGGGAAAAGTTGTTCATGAGGAAGAACAGAAAAGCTAGGAGAGGCTGCAGAGGTTTGCTTTTGCCTGAGTCTACTGGGAAGGGCAAGATTCTGCAGCTATTGCAGAAAAGTGGGGAGAAAAGAGGAAAGTGGGAGGAGGAGGGAGAAACCGGGATGTTTTAAAAGCAGCTGGGAAAGTGGGACGACAGAGGATTAGTCAGTTGTAGGCTATGACCAAGGTGCGCTTCTGTACCGCGTCAAACGGAAGGTTTTGCCTGGCAAAAATGCTTCCACCTTTGCAGATGTAGCCAGAAGTAGTGGGTGGGGTCACTGTCATCATCGTCATCATCATCATCATCATCATCATCATCATGATCATGATGCAGCCATAGAAGTTACAGTGGAATCATAGTGTTACAGTAATATAACTGTGCACCATGGAAGGGAGTATAAAATTATGCAGAATGAAGAGAACATAGATAGGGAGATATCTTTTCTCCTTCTCTTCTAATACTACTATCCAATCATGTGCTGAAAGTAAGACGGGAGAAAGGATTCTAGGAGTATATATAATGATAGTATTATATGCAGCACTGTACAACAGCCTTGCAGGGTGGCAGACATTACCACTGGATGCCTGACTATTATGAAGTTGCATACCCATGGCAGGGACAGTCCCAATCCATCCTCTGTCATCTCATTTTTCCAGCGGTCCCTGTGCAGGACTAGATGGGTATTATTCGGGACTGTCCCGGCTGAATTGGGACAGTTGGAGGGTATGCTTAGGTCTAATCCAGTTTAGGTCTAACCCATCAGGTCTAATCCAGCAAGTATGCTTAGGTCTAATCCAGTTTAGGTCTCATCCAGTAGACTCTTGCCCTTCCCAGTAGGCTCAGGCAAAAGCAAACCTCTGCAGCCTCTCCTAGCTTTTCTGTTCTT